TCAGCTGTGTTGTTTGTCATCGATGACGTCATCCTCGTCGCCATTGGTCGTCGTCGTCGTCATCCTTGCTGTCGTCATCGTCGTCATGGTCGTCGTCATCGTCGTCATGGTCATCGTCATCGTCGTCATGGTCGTCGTCACATGTCTCTGTATGCGTCGTCATCTGTCCCTCTCATCGTCGTCGGGGTGTCCTTCTGTCGTCGTCGTTGGCCCGTCATGATTTTGAGCTCTCACTAGACCATGTCTTTAGAATTAAGCTAAGTTATAAGCCGATGCTCATGTTGTGATACCGATGATCATGTTGTGATACCGCTGAGAATGCTATGAAAGTACCTTCCCGGAGAACCCCCCGTCTCTTGGGTCATATGTAACTAGCTAGAACCCATTTGACATTGGTTTTGATGGGAAAAGACCATACTTGGGGTGGTTGATGGTCCAAAATAGAGGTCACTCAGGTTCTATAGGTATACATGTTACATAATCGTTTCTTAGCTTGGTCTTCGAAGAAGACTTATGAAAAATCAGCCACATTGAACATTTGCACCGACCAGGCCCTCTTTTTTCAGGGGTCGGATCTAGTTCGCAGGTCCCCCAACAGGTCCCGCTCTCAGATTCGCAAGGATTTCCCAACCAGTCACGGTCAATCATGAATTTGGACTTATTCGGACTGGTATATATAGATATCGTTCTTGCACTGCAACTCTTACAGGCAATCATCGGACTTCTTAGTTTTTTCCAACCTCTCGGTCGCGGTCGCGCTGCTTCCGGCGGGCCTCGAACCACACGGAGCGAGGCCTTCGCGGAGCTCATGGCCTCCTACGCCGAGGGTTTTCGAGCGCCGGAGGTGCTGGCGGCAGGCGTCGACCAGCCGTGTCCGGTCGCACGTTGGACTACGTCGTGGTCGGAGGGGTCTGGGATGGTCTGGGGGTGTGGTGGAGAAAAGGCATGAGGATGGACCACGAGTCGGATGCGGTTTTTGGGGCGACTTCATCATCCTCTTCGTCTCGGAGATCGAAACAGGTAGCGAGCACAGGAGCACAGCGAGTCAAGGATTCCGGCATCGTGACGAGCGGTTGGAATCCAAGTGGTTGGGTCAAAGTGTCACATCATTACGATGTGAGTGGCTGGGGTCTTCGCATCGAAGACGCATGAATGAATACTCTCAGCCACCTGAAGGCCCTGTCGTTGGGAACCCTGAAAGCTGTTAGAACCAGCACGTGATTCAGGTGAGTCCTGAAGAGGAGAGGTTCATAGAGTCCGGACAGGTCGGTGTGTGTCAGTGTTCATTCGTTGCCCGTGTGGGGTAGACCATGGACCCACAGGTCTACCAGCACTATATACAGCCATTTCGAGCTATAGAGATCTATAAGCACCTTCAGGTGAATATGGCTGTGCGATGGAGTGAGTGGTTGGGCATCAATTCACAATCTCAATTTGCCATAATTTGCCCTGTTTGGATCTGGACCCCGAACAACAAGAGTTTGCTTCGGGGGCCCAGTTACCCCTGTGAAAAAATGGGGCAAAGAAGGGTGCGACCCTTGCTATGGAGGTCGGGTCCGAACTCGGATCCTTAGGGGTAGATCACCATGCTGTAGTTCCGAACATCCGTCGTCATGCTGAACGGATCACGGACGTCGGATCCCTTTGGTCTTGCCCCTTTACGGTCGGGAATGTTGGCAGGTCTGGACCTGGCAGTGGTCTATTTGAAGAATTATTCTCTTGATAAGGCAGGAATGGAGGGGCGGGGCCTGGGAAGGACTTGAGAGCTTTGGGACTGGGTTTCGTTTCATCCATGTCTTTCTTCGGATCCTCCGTGCACGCAGTTGGGACACGCGTGCTTTCTCGGGCACTCGAAGGCAAGGGGGCATGTTGGGGCATGCGGTTGCAGGCCCGGTCGACGACGAGCTGGGCAGTCTGTGGGGACTGCTAAGGGGAGGTGAACGAGTCTCTCACTCGCTCACATGGAGGTGGATAGCGTTCCGCTGAGCGGTCTTCCGGCCCAACTGCCATCCACATAGCCATGGAACGTGGGTGAGAGTGTATTCACCTTATCGGGTGATCACCCTAAGAATCCGGTCTCGAAGTGAAGGGTTTGAGGACTCACTGGGGCTCGGTGGGAGGTCCGACCGTGTCGCGCTTCGCGCGTGAAAGCGGATGTGGCAGGACCTTCGAAGCAGGACATTTGCCGACAGAGAGAAGCATGTTTCAGTGTGATCCTATCTTGTCTTTTTCCTAGTGCCCATGGCATATCAGTAGTCTTGGCTCTTGAAAGCCGCAAGAAACCAAGAAAAAAAGACACCGGCCTTTGGTGGACCTGATCAGCCCCCCCGGAAGAAGCGTCAGGCCGATACGCTTTATTCGGCCATGGAAGCTCACTGTATGTCACGCGGCCTGCCCTGGGACGCTGCTTGGCTGCTGTTTGCTTCACGTGTTTTCAGTGTGTGTTTTTCAGTGTGGCATGATGTGTCACATGTGATCCGAAGGGGGCTCGAACGGTGTGGCCAAACCTAAGGCTTCTTAGAAGAGCAAAGATGAACGAAGACATGCTCAAACCATCCCAAGCCCATTGGTTGGTGGGATCTCCCTATTCTTATATCCATGAACATCGTGCACCGCAAGTTGTCATGGTCTTTGTGGCTCCCGACTGCGCCCATCTCGTTGGTTCGTGTGCGCCGGACATCCGCCCGTGCGCATGAGGTGAAGTTCATGCAAGACCTTGCTACGCTGCGATGCAAGCAGAATCGCCAAGCAGAGGCAGCCAAGCTACTGGAGGCGACTTACGGACCTCATCCGACCAACTGACTGGGTCTTAAAATGGAGAAGGCCGGGGAGGTCTCGGCTGTTGTCCCCCACCAGCAGGTTGCGTTCAGCGGCTGGTTCTGATGCTTTCGGCTTCGTGGCCGGGGGTCGTTGCGGGGTGCTTTCTCTCGTGGCAGTGCTCGGCCGCCGCGGCCGGCGCCGGCGCAAGAGACTCATCCTTTGGCGGTCTAACAGACAGTTTTGGTTGGAAAGGTGCAGGAGATCACCGGGCCTTTGCGAATTGCGCCTTTGCGAACCAAGAACATGACCTCCATGTTTGCAGATTTGGTGGCAGGCTTGGTGTGTGTTTTCATGCTGTTTCATGTGTGTGTACCGCTTGGAATCATAGGGATCCTTTCAGGTTGTTTCGCTTTGGCTTTAATGTTGAAGGAGCAGGGGGCCGGAGCCAGGTGGGGGGTCTCCGGCCAACGAAGACACCCCCACCTGGGTGTAAATGTACCTGCACTTGTGACAACACTCCACTCTTCCACCGCTGTGGTTTGTTTCCATGGTGTTTGCATGATCTTCCCCTAAGCCTGCCTTAATTTTAAGATTTCTTGTGCACTGCAGACCTGCACGCCACGTCGTCATTTGTCGTTTCGGGATCGGCTTGGGCTTTTGGCCCCACTTCCGTTTGAGGACCTCCAGGCTTCTTTGGTTTTCACTTGATCTGGTCAGGATTTGGATACCCAGGTTGGCTTGTGGCAAACCGCATCAAATCAGTACGCAATTTCATAAGTGTGTGTGTGTGTGTGTGCGCGTTCGCGCGTGCTCTCTCTCTCTCTCTCTCTCTCGTGTGTGTGTGTGTGCAATCTCACACGTGTGCTCGGATGGTTGTACACTCATTTGTGTGCTCCCATGTGCCTGCTCTCATTGGTGTGATCTCATGTGTTCTCATAGTAGTTTGCTCTCATCTGTGTACTCTCGCCTGTGTGCTTTTATATGTGTTCTCATGTATGGTCCCATTTGTGTGCTCTCATGGGTTTGCTTTGTCTTTATTCTCTCTTCTTTTCCGCTTAGAGAGTCTCTTCTCGGACATTTTGACAGGCCTGATTCAACCCACTGGCTGCTCTGCATAAGAAAGGGTAACCTTGAGTGGGGGGGTTCTCCCAATCATCTCCCATTGTGGAATTGCTTGGCAACCAAGTGAAGTGAAGGGATATGGAAAAAGTATTCAGATATATAGTAATATAGTTATGAAAATCATTATTAGAAAACAGGTTTGACCGGTTTGAGTCGGTCAATTCAGGTATTTGTTATTGAATATATTATATATACAAAATAACATATATTATACGGGCTCAACCCCGAGCAGTGGATCTAAGGACTGAGTCTATTCTTATTTAATTCATACAAATACGAAAGAATCATGTGGATGGCACCACCTACTTGTAGAGGAAAATGGTCGTCCAACCGGCCATGCCACCCACGTAACCATCATGATTAGAAACTTGGAGTGTTGTTCAGTTGTTGGAAGATGTTCCTATCCTCTTGCGACTCCGGATGCGAAGGAATCTACCAGGAGTCACATGGAGTTGGGTGGTGTGGTTCGTTCCATCCAGGGCTCGTGGATGTGACACGGGCACCCTGACTACCGGTCCTAACCTCCATGGATAGCACCCCGAACTGTGACTGTTGGTCTCTCTCTTTGTTTTTTCACACGACCGACGACCACGGCGCAAACGCCGATAGCCTCAGGGAGTGGCCGAACGCACTCCGCCCCACGTGCGGAGACTCAGACTCAGCGCTCTTTGAGCCCGCCAGACTGCGGGGTGAGTTGGTCCTGTGTCTCAATGACTCCAGTGGCCAAACCCATGTTTTTTGGAGCCCGGGCCCGGCCTGGGCGGCCTGCGCGGGAGAAGTTCGCTCCTAGGTACGTAAGCCATAAAGCTACTTACTATAGCGACAGGACGCAGGAGATAGCTCACGCCAGAGAGAGAGGGGGGGGGTAGAGGACAAGATCACTTGTGACAATCTTCAGCCTCCTCCGCAAGTCCGAGCACCAACGGCCACGCAGCACCAACTCCCCAGTGAAGCTTCTGAGAAGTTCTGATTGCACGTAGCCTGATGAGCCTGAACATATGTTCAGCCTCCTCAGCAACTCCGTGCACCTACGGCCACGCAGCACAAACTCCCCCAAAGAAGCTTCTGAAGAAGTGCAGACTGCACGGCCTGATGAGCCTCAAATGTGTGTATATGTTCTTTGGGGTTGGTTGGTGGAATTGTTTGGACTACTTGTGGAAATGGTTCTGCTAGTTGACTCAATCTTCTTGTAGATGGTTTGATTGATTTTTCATCTGAAACCCCAACGGCCCAAGCTGAGTGCATGGACGATGTATTTTGAGGCATGGTCTTTCAATGTTTGAGGCATCAAAATACACCATGAAGAGCAAATCCCTCCAGAGTCAAAGTGTTTCATCCATGACACGTTGGAGAATCACTGACCATTCCTCCGGTCCCTCGTCCAAAGCTGGCCTCACCAGTCATGGCGTCGGTGTTGTACCAGCCGAAGTGGTGCCGGAGTGCACAGTGCCGAAGTGGTCATTCTTTTGTGGGATGAGAATGCCACTTTCGAACCCAGGGAGCTGTATGATTTAACGTGATGCATTGAGATTTGTGCCAAAATGGTGCAGTCTCAACCCTTTGACTGCAACGGAGTCTGCAATGGTTGTGGTCGTGTTCCTGGCATCACTGGCATCCTGTGTGAGAAACGGCCGCCACACCGAATTCCGCCCACGATCTCCCGAACCCCACCGCGCGGACGCCGGCTGCCCACCGCTGCCCACAAGAACGGGACGTGCCGAGGAGGCGACGCTGCGAAACCTGGGCACCGTGTACAATATGCTCCGCGACCACGACAAGGCTCGGCCAATGGTCCTTCGTCGTCTCGATCGGAGGGAGGGTGACCGACCGGTCGTGGGACGGTCGATGACACGTGGTCGTTGCGCGATCTCGTCCGCAGCCGGTGGAGGCGAAGATCTACTTCAACGCTGCCTCCCAACTGGTCGGTGAAGTGGAGAAAGAGGAGACGACTGGGAATTACTCGTTTGTCGATCACCCAATCAGGAAGTACGTGGATGCCCAAGCTTTGACAACATTGGATAATCATACAATTGGATGGGATTGGAGAAAAAATCACATTTTTTTTCCTATAGGTGCTTGGAGGCCATCGCTGGACCGCTGGAGGCCATCACTGTGTAAAATTGTGGAGGCCCCGAGGCCATTGCTATGAGGAAAAAACACATGAAGAGAGGAGGAGAGTTCCTTCGATCGATCTCCGCCTCAGATCTGCCGCGGTCCGACGTGACCCTTTCGGCTCTGCGTTCGGTTTGTTTCGGGCCGGAGAGAAAGCGTCTGTAATTGAGCCTTTTTGGGGGGGGAGCTGTCGACTTGAAGGGTGACAAGGGTTGTGTGGTCCTTTTGGTTGATTCCTATCTTTCTTCTAACTTTATTACTGTGTGTGTGTGTTTTCTTAAATCTATTTTGCAATGTCCAATGCCAAGCTTCAATCAGCTCAACATAAGACAAGCGATATATCATATATCCCAGAAACATGCAGGCAATGCGAGTATCAAACATTCATTCAATATATGTCTTCAAGTTCAGTTCGTGACCGTCATGAGGGTCCCAGCCAGTGACTTTAGAGGTTCTCAGTGAGCAAACGACCCAGGATCTCACAGGGTCACTTTGAAGAACCAGGGAAAAAAAGAGCGCAAGACACATCCTTTATGGAAGCGTGACCATCCGAGTGTGTGGCTAACGACTTTATCACTTTTGTTCAATGAGTGTACGAAGAGCTTTTACCTTGTTGTCAATAACGGCAACTATAGCTGTAAAACATATCTCGGGGGTATTAAAGCTGGCTATGGAAGCTATTATCATGTCGTTTGCCATGAGGTCTCAAGTCTTGTCGTGCAACATCAACATTCTTGAGTTCTTGTGCGTGTGTTGACCTTGGAAAGTCTTGATAAGAAAAGTCAAGAGGCACATGCCATCAAAGTGACACAACTGGAAGTGGCATTGGGTCCCTAGGGGTGCGCGCTGGACTTCAACCATGGAAACCACTGCTTGCGCAGTGGGGAAGGTCATATATTAGACTGTGGTAGTCTTGTTTCTGACATGTTGCCAGCAGGACCTTTGGAACCTGGGCATCGTTGAGATGCACAAGAAGAACTTCGGTGAAGCTGCTCCACTACTGGAAAAGGCCCTGGCAGCCTTTCAGGCTTACGACCCAGAGGCTCCGACGAACCCCTCCGCGTGGAGTTCCGCGTGCGTGTGTTGACGTGTTATTTTTCGCCAAGCATGCTCTTTAAAAAAAAAGGGAGCTGCAATGGAGCACATGTCTTCGTGTGCGGAAGTCCCAACCATGTTTGAAAATGGTCTGACTAGATGATAGGGACTTGGAACTTTCACTGCAGGGCACTTCAGTGGTCGTTGGACCCCATGACGCAATGTTTTTTTTGCCCGCCTTCAACCCTTACAGAATGGTGGACATGGTTTAGTTTTGTAGTCTAAGATCCACAGTATAGTGATTAATTCGGTCACAAGCATTATAAAGCACTCCCAGACACGACGAATGGGACTGCCCTAGGACTGCCGAGAAACGGCCAGGGGTGGTTGATTTCAGGGGTCTGTCTGGGGCGGCATTTAAAAAAGCAGTCCCAGACTCGTCGTGTTTGGGACAGGCCACGAATCGCCTCGAAGAGGCGACGCGTGCTGCATCCTTCGGCTGTTCGCCCGCGACCCGAAGGATGACGTGACCATTGCGAAGCTCCGGGACTCCGTCGGCATGTGCTACGATGGCATGGGCAGGCGCGTTTTGGTCCGCCGTGGTGTCGTGAGGTGGCGGTGTTCACAGTGGTTTGCCGTTTTGGAACGGCGAAGTAGAGCAAGTTGCTAAGAGCTGAGCCAGCAAGTGACTATATAGGATGTGTTGGTCGTGTTTGGGTCATTTGTTTGAGGCTCCACAGGCCTGTAATGGCATGCATTTGCACACGAAGCAGCAGGGCCCTGCGAGTTTAGGTGTTTGTTTGTGTTTGGTCAATGGACTTCTTACAGCATGGTCCTAAAATCACAGCCAAGAGTGGGCCAGGATTGCGATACCGCTTCAATGGTTCTCAATGAAGGAACAGTGTTTAGAGACCATGCTACGTGAGGCTGTGAGTTGGCAGAGGCAATTGAGAACGGCAACACGCAGACTGCATTGGACGCCTTAGGACCAATGGCCAAGATTCAACTCGAGAAGAGCAAGTACGAGCGAATTTCACGCTCTAAGATCGAGAGCACGGTTCGCGGCACGTTGTCGATAGTCATCAGTATGGTCATCCAGCAGAGCATGCCGCTCTTCAATTTTTGTCTTGAAGACAACAGGGCGTGGGGGATGTTGCATCATAGTTGGGTTGGCAGTGCCTGCGCAAAGATCGTACAGTGGTTTGTTCACTGTCAGAATCTGACCCATTGCGGGTTGCAATGCTGGGGGACAACATGATTGTAGCCGCCTTTGACCCTGTGGCTGGAAAACCGCAATTTATGTATCTCGACATCAGCACATCAGATGCCAAATTGCCACCGCGGCAGGAATGCTTCGGCCAATGCTGCAAAAGGTTTTGACTGGTTGATGGCAAGGTCAAGGACCTCAGATGATCGCTGAGGCTTTTTCGCCCAATATTCGGTTGCTGAGCGGAGACGTCTCAGCACGTCACTTCTTGTCAAGTGGGTTCCACCAGTACGTTCATTAGCCACAACATTGTGGTGGATGTTTGTGCTACATCAGGCTCAAAGACAAACTAGAATGGTAGCACTAAAAGCTAATAGATACTGGTGACCTTAACAAATACATAATGACACTTCTCATGTCACAACATACCAGTGACCTGTTCCATTAGCCACTACTAGAAAGGTGTTCTTGGAGTGAAAGCCTGGACATCGTTTGTTTCACTCTCACCCATCTCTGCAGCTGGTTCTCTCGGCACCAAAACCACCACGCGGTCCCTGTGGAGTTTTTGCACTTATCTTAAGAAGATACCCTGGACACCACTATCGGATGGTATTGTTCAGATGCCCAGTGGTCATCAAGTTAATCTCCGCCTCCATTCTACAAAAGAAATCCGTCACATCTTTCGAGCTGCCTGGTCTACATATGTTTGGGGGCAAATAAGCCATAGAACAGGGGTTACTGATGCCCCTTTTTGCTTCTTATGTGATGCATAAGATACTGAGGAATATCTCGCCTACTGCATTACGTCTTATAGCACTTAACCTAACGACCTAACAGGTGGATACCAAACAGGTGCCGTAAAACAGCTGTGGGATAGTAGGCAGTCTATCACGTGTTCCTTTTGTGGCTAAGATGACACGCACACGCACCGATTGCTTCAATGCCCTCATTTTCAGCATATTCGTGATAATCATGCCAAGTCTGTGTCCTCTTTACTTTAGCCTCCTACCCACATTTAATTTGGTTTCCACTGCCCACTGTTCCTGCCCAACAGATGGCCAATGAACAGGCCCCAAGCTTTGTCGTCCCCTTTCTCGATCAGCCGCAGAGAGCAATTTGCGAACAAGACCGTTTATATCAATCCTTTACATTGCATACATTGCTTTACATAGCAAGTGGCACTGGGGAGGTTCATCCATCTATCCCAGACACGACGAATGGGACTGCCATAGGACTGCCGAGAAACGGCCAGGGGTGGTTGACTGGGGGTCAATGGGGCATAATCATGGCAGTCCCATTCGTCGTGTCTGGGGATGGCGGTGACCTACCACAAGACCAAAATGGTTGTCGCACAGCTTGGGCAATTGTTCAAAATGTCCGATATAATTCATCCTGATCGCTCCAAACAGGACTTTGCAGTCGTCCAGGCTTCTCATGTCCAAGGCACACAGTCCATCAACGGTGGTGAACCAGGAGCCATCGAATGGTTAGCTAGATATGTCGCAACATCTGCCACGATCCTTCATTGATGTTTATACTGATTGGAGTTTTGCTGTTCGGATTGTTGAGGCAATTTCTACTTATACACTATCGACAAACGATTAAAAACCTGGCGCATGATGATCTTGTTCAAAGTTGGAAACATCGCTGGGACCCCCTCATTTTTAGGTGCATACTATTAGGGTCAAGTCTCATCGATCCATTTCCGAGGCAACGTCTCCAGATGACTTGTATCACATACTTGGTAATGATGCAGATCAACAAACAAGAAAATCCAGCTTTTAGGCACTTGACTCAATTGATCCATAAGCACAGTCACTCACAGATGGATGTTCTTTTGGACATCTATAATTACCTGGCTGATTTAAATCAAGTTCACTCAGCTTTACGTAAAGAAAAATACTAAAAGACCACCGAGAGGAGAAGAAAGTGTGTCACTTCCGTGAAAGTCTGTCTCGGATGCGGGGTCGCCTGCCATGGGTGTTTGATCACCATTTAGCCGCCGGTTGTACCACTAGCGTGTTGGGCCGGATCATGTGTAGCATATAACGGTATGGTCCCGTTCCTTTTCGTGCAGCGTCATAGGCGTCATCCCATATAAATCCTGCCTGCACGCTCTGATTTGGGGATCACTTGTATGGGAACTCGTAGTCCAATACATGATTTTCTCATGTGGATGCCTACCTCACACCGATTCACCACAAGAACAGATTCAACCGCCGTCTGCCAAATCGGCATCAGGCATCCACGGCATCCACGGCAAAAGGGCCATTGTTCGCTATCTCGAAAATACTTTGCAGTGCCAACGGTTCCATCGAGAAAAATCATGTGCTTCCTCACTCGTACGACTTGGTCACCAAAAATTCTAGTTGGTGGCATGGCTTCCAGACCAACTCTGCCCAATGCTGGCGTTGTAAAAAGCTGGGGGACTATTCCTCTTTGCCAAATCAGCCTTATCCCTTCAACATGCGTTTGCCTATCACACCAATTGCAGATTATGATGTTTCTTTTCCCAATCTACTAGTTGAACCGCCTTTTTTTGCAAAAGGCAAAACTTTTACTAAAATGCACGCAAATTATTGTATTGACAATCACAAATGCATTCTGGAAATACCGCTTCAATTCTGAATCAGATGCTTTCGTTGCATAATTCACAACAGCCCTATCTCCTGTCTTAAACGGTGATTTTGCTCCTTGTGGCATTTGGTTTCACTGTTCTTTTTTTTGTTCATACACTTGCTGTATCTTATCTATCCCTCGGGCACCCCACCTATGTGGAAGGGCTTTGAGGGGCGGGATTCGTGTCCGCAAGTTGTGTGTGGTGTGTGTTTGTGTTTTTTAACGCGCCTGTGAGTCCAAACACACTTCTCAATCGGGACTGCTTGGAAGTGCACCAAACACCGCCTGCCACTTATTTAGCACGTCGTCTTGACACTCGGACATGCATGTCGAGCAAATGCATTGTTTTCGTTCGGATGAGAATTTCCATAAGATTGTGGCCTTGTCCTTTTTTGGGATACACACTTGGAGTTCGGCAACGCTCCCATTGTGCACACGACAGTGATTCTGATAACCTGGCAGGAAGTGAAATTGCTCGAACAAAAGGGCAGATGAGACGCCGAAACTTGCTTGGCAGAACTTCTCCGTATGTCGCACTTGACTCAGCTGGCAGTTCGCTACTTGTTGAAACCTTAATTGACACTGTTTTGGAAGCATGGAGACTCCCAAGTCGGGCGTCCGCCATCCGAGTTTGCGGATGCCACTCATGATGCAGCGTAGCTTTACAGAAGGCCCTGCAAGAATTCGACCAAAAGAATAATCGACCTGCTATCGTAATTCCATGGCAGTGGGACAGCATGTTGTTGGGCGCGTCTTTACACGCCTGGCGACCGTTGTTTAATCATGATATTCAGATTGTTTGAGCTGAATGTGAGAAGGCATGATAGGCACATAAAGGAACAAAGCTTTCCAAAAACATCTCAAAAACACAGCGAACATGAACTACATCTACCTCGGCTTTGCTCTTCAGTTTGCTTTTGAGTGGGCCACAAGTTGAACCAGCGGATGTCAGTGGGGTTACAAATTTGAGGGGATGGAGATCCGTCCCACCTCTCAAGCAGTCTGGAAGACCCACAATAGAAACCGCATGCAGGACGCATGTTTAAAGGGTTCTACTCCATTCAGGGTCACCAATAGACTACACATATCTACACATGACATACATGACTACCGACCAAGTCAGTGGATAATCTTTAAGCTTCTTGGGGCATTGTTTCCTCACTAAACGTACAAGCTGTCCTGATCACCTTAAACATAACCGCTCGGGAGTCAGACTATAAACTACTGAGCCCCAACAGTATGGTGTTGGTCCTATCATTGGGGTCACTGCAGGCCACAGCTTTCGGCGTGGCAAATGATGAGTTCCCAGCAAATGGTGAGTCAAATTGATGACCAACGAATTCTTACATGTAGACTCTTGATTGACTCTTGATCAATCAGAGTTGCGCTCCATGACATGATAATTCTTGATTGCTCCATGCCTGGAAGAGTTTTCCTGGTTTTATGAATCAAGAGTCAACATTGCATGTGCCGCGCTTGCATTTGCCACTTACTCCGCATAGGATTGCCCTCCGGCTTCAGGTATGAAGATGCCATTGTCCATCTTGCCGAAGCACGTTCTTTGTATGTGAAGGGCTTAGCCATTGCTTGGAACCTCCGTCCAGCTGAGATTCTTCACAAAAAAATGGACATAGGGAAGCAGGAAGTTGCTTTGTTGTTTGATTTGTTTCCAGGTCAATGCTTTTCCCCTGGCCAACCTACCACATTGAATCAGTTGAATCGGTGATCGCAGTGCTTCACTTGAGTTAAAGCCCATGGAAGGGCCGTGGTGCAGTCATGTTATCTTTGTGTTTTTCAATTAAGAAATGAGTGTCATAGGATTTCAACCACCATTGGTGTCACATGATTACATGAGCTCTACCAAACAAAATGCGTTTTACTAAGGATTTTAGACTACAAAGCCAGCTCAACCAACCTCTTTGAATGATCGAACTGAAGGCTATGGAGTGTGCTGTTCAAACCTCTCAAAAAGACTTCGCTTCAGAACCGTGAGCTGGCAGACTTCCGTTCGTTCGGCAAAGCCAAATGCCTTACGCTCCTTGAAACAATCATGGTCGAAGTGGATGGCACTCTTTTCGTTCGGATGACCATGTTCCTCCCAAGCAGGTGGTGCCACTTCCACTTGCATGTTGGGGAGATCGACCTACTAAGGGTGAAATGGGCTCTGGGGTTTGACCGCCATGTTGGGCTTGTGCCAATGAGAAACATGAATAGACAGCAAACAACCCTCACAATCAGTATTCTACTTGCAGATGTTCAGCCAGCGTATCAATCGTCTGACTCCCAACATAAATGGAAAAAATGAAAAAATAAATGGATGGTTAATGAAGTGGGATTTCCAACCTTTGATAGGTTCACTGACCGTAGCCCATGCTGCTGTCAACACCTCACGTAGCCCTGTGCGAGGAGCGAAGCATTGGTACGGAGAGCCC